GCAGCGCACTCGGAACAGAGCTCGCTGGTGAGAACCTCATCGACGCCCTGCCGTTCCTGCCGCTGCCCCTTGTCGAGGAGTGGATGACCGTCACAGCCAGGACCATGGCCGAGGTTGCCGACCCCGCCATGCGCAAGCTCGTGCGCGAGCGCTTCGTCGAGGTCCTCGTCAGCGGAGAGTTGGATGTTGAGCGGGCGGCGATTGGCGTCGCGTGGTGGGGGACCAAGGGAGGCAGGGAGCTGGTCATTGGGAGGAGCGCGCCGCCGGCCATGATGAGCGGTGCGCTCGTGGAGGAGGAGAGGGCGAGCAAGCTGTAGGTGTCTGGGTCTTTGCGTGGTAGGATTGACGATGGATGGAATGTATGTAGACGGAGCGTGCGTAGATGGAATGTGCGTATACCCATTACAACTACTTTGTGTAACATGACTGCTTTCAAACGGGTTTCGAGGTTGTGAATATGAACGTTGCCCGTGGCTGCGACTATTCGTCTCTTCTGACATGTTAGACACGCCTGTCGTACCACACCATAGCGATGCGTCCATCGGTCATTCCATGCGTGCTTCGCAGGACGAGATACTTGCAACACTATACCGTTCACGATGGCCGCTCTGCAAAGCGACTCATTACGGAGGCCGCGCTATACAGAACACAGACCTGTCGTCACCCATGCGCCCACCACACCTCTTCATATCGTACTCGTTCATATTGTTTTCCTTGGTGTTCCAGTCCTACTTATTCTCCACTGAGGGCTCAGCTACTACACAATCACACGCCTCGCCTGCTTCCTCGCACTTCATCCGACCACAGCGCCACGTTTCACGTAAGCCAACTTGCAATTTGAGTAAAGAGGTAGACAAAGACCACCGCCGACAAGGCAAAAGTCCAGCACCAAGCAAGCACAGCACGGCAGAAACCTACTCCTACAATCGACTTATCATTAAGACTACGTAACCCTTCATCGACCGGGCCGACCCAGCCACGGAGGCCCATCGCCCCACGACGGTCTCTAATCATGTACCGAAAAGATATGAACACGACATCCCCCCCAGGCCCGCGCCCACGAGCCTCCGTCCCCCCCTCTCCCGTTGTTTCCAAGCGCCGTGTTCCAGCGTGGTGGCGCTGCAGCGCACCCGCCCACCGCGTCTAATGAGTGTGGTATGTTTTCCTGACCCCGTTTCCGTTTGCGCCGTAGAGGCTCCCGAGTTGGTCGTAAAAACAAAAGAGGTCCGACGTATCGTGACAAGGACTTGCTTCCCCAACACCAGAATTACAATTATCGTCTATGAAGGGACGAAATCCACGAGTGGATAGAGAAGTGAAAATAAGGACATTGAAGAAGAAAACGAAAAGGGAGAGAGCTCTAAAGGAGAGCAATGGCACCGGCGATACCGGCCACCATGGCAACGACGGGAGCCTGGTTGGCTTGAGCAGCGGCCGTGGGGACGGTCTCGGGCGCCGTAGTGGCGGGGACGGTGACGGCGGGCTCAGAAACGGTCTCAGGGGGAGGGACGACGATCTCGGTGAAGGTGCTGGGCTCAGGGTAGACAACCTCGGTGGGCTGAATGTGAATCGTCTCACCCTCCTCGTAGTGAGTGACGGTCACGGCCTGCTCGCCCTGGATAGTTGTGTAGATGACCGCCTCGGCAGTCTTGGTGACATCAGGCTTCTGGACCGTCTTGATGTGTGTGACGGGGACGTGCGTCGTGATGACTTCCGTCTTGTAGTGACTGATGGAGAAAAAGTGTTAATATTTCACTCGTGCGACTCATGTGGTTTGCGTCACTTACGTCTGGACAACTGTCTGGCCGTCAATGACAGAGGTCTGGTAGACGGGGACCTCAATCGTCTTGGTCTGGTACTCGACCTCTTTGTCGATGGAGGTGACATCAGGGCCGGGAACTTCGTGGACCTTGGTGACAGGCACGTGCTCGGTGACGACCTGAGTCTCGATGTGGCTACTTCGGGTCAGCTGAAATTGAACAGTGTCACCCGTGATGGGTGTAGACGTACGTGATGACAGTGGTGTGCCCGTCAATGTACTTGGTCTCGGTGACAGGCTTCTCAATGGTCTTGGTGATGTAGTCGGTGGCCTTCTCAACATGGGTCACATCAGGCTTCTTGACGGTCTCATACAGGGTCGTGTAGACCTTGGTCACGACCGTGTCAGTAGTCGTGTACCTTGAGTTGTGTTAGTGGTC